AAATGCACACTTGCATTGCCTACTAAGAAAGTTAGTAGCCGGTAGTCATAGGGTTAAGGAGAACACAATCATAGGAGCTGCTATCTAACAAGATCTCCAGGAGGGGAGGTTATGAAGAAGAGAGCGAATACTGACAAATAAAAACTTCAACTTGTAGTCTCTGCCAGATCCCATAGATGATGAAATAGAAAGTGAGAGTTGAGTCCAGAATAAGTGGCCTGCATGTGAAGGCGAAAGACAGTCTTAGCAGCACGGATAATATGATCTAGAACAAACGTACATTGGAAGGATAGGACATTCTGTAGTATTAATGTGATGAAACAGATGATATCCTCTGTGGTAGGAGACATAGCAACAGAGTTGTCCAGAGGGGTAATGGTATTGGTGGTATGCACTGAAGCAACAGAAGAAGGATCATCAGTCTTGGGGGTAGGTTTACCCTGACACTTAGAGGAGTATGTAGGATGATCAAGATGGCAAGTGTTGCAGAGGGGAGGAGAGCTTAAGTGAGAGCATTGGCGAAGGAGATGAGATACGCGAGAATGAGAACAAACTGGTTGGTGAGAGCATTTAGCAGTGGTATGTGAGTTGTATAATAGGCATCTCTCACAGCACAAAGCCTGGAGGGCTGGGGAATGGGAAGCTTCAACAAGTAAGTAATAACTGTCAAAAACACTCACCAAAACGAACCGCATTCGAGTAACAAGACGAACTGCAGAACTGATATTGAATCCGATATTTTCAATCTCAAAACAATTGTTGCAAAATCCAATCTCCGAATCACCCTGAAAGTTCAGACCAAACCAAGCCTTTATAGTAGTGAAGTATCGAAAATCAAACTGGTGTATTTAAGAGTTTTATACTCACAAAAAAGAAACCTATCATTCTATAGGTATTTGAAGAACTTGTAGCAATCCGCCACAATTTAATTCTTCGTATTGTTATCTGACACTGGGCAGCTTGTACATAATTGAATAAGTAGAGTTGTTTAAACATTTGTTTTAACAACAAGTAAAAGTTTGGAATGGTCTATTCTTTCATTGGGGTGTGTGTGTCTATGAAACTAATCTGTCTCATAGACACACACCCCAATGAAAGAATAGACCATTCCAAACTTTTACT